AACGGCTGGCTGCCCTGGCAGAACATGAAGGGCCGGACGAAGATGACCAAGTACGCGCGCATCGCCGAGAAGAAGCTCTCCACGCCGATTGCGCAGCTGTGCGCCGGCCTGCCGGTGCAGTTTGCCTCGTACATGCACTACGTGCGGACGCTCACTTTTGACCAGACGCCCGACTATCGCTACCTGCGCAACCTCTTTCGCTGTCTCTTCTTCAACGAGTGCGAGGCCTATGACAACGTCTACGACTGGACGCCACTGAACTCGAGCAGCGTAAGTGTGAAAGCTTCTACTTTGGATGTTTCGCCATTTTATTTTTTCTTTTTTGTCACTTTTTTTTAGGAGTACGACGAAGAGCAGCAGCAGCAGGGGGTGGCCAAGGTGGAGTGCAAGGCTAATGTGGTGGAGGCCGTTGGCTCGCCCTGGACGGCGCCGAGTAGGCCGCCGATGTACTTTAGTCCTGGTGGTTGTGGCCAAAATGGTGGCGGCAATTACGGCGGCAATGGCAACCCCTTTGCCTCGCCGGTTCGCCTCAAGCCCTCGGCGCCATTCGGGCAGACGCGATGGTACAATCATCGAGGAGGAGGAGGTGAAGGTAATAATGGCCCCAACATGATTACGCCCTCTCCAGCGGCCCATCCCTACTCACTTCGCCGTCGCATGCTTCCTGACCTCTACCTACTGCCGACACGGGTCGCCGTGGAGAACCTCAATGCCGCCGTGGATGTTTCCAGTCGGATCGAGCAGTTCAACAATAACTTCAACAATAACAACAACAACAACAACAACAACGTCAACAACGGCGGTCACAGCCGAAACATGGTGGATGTCTATGCTCTGTGAAGACCCTTTCGGAGAAGACTGTTGCCCACCCTTTATCTAAGAAGAAGAAGAAGAAGAAGATTGAAGTGAATTCTGTCAACTGTAAGTAGTTCAACACATGTTCACATGCATCACACCACAAGAATGTGTCTTCCTCCTCCTCCTCCTCTCTCCCTCCCTTCAATTTCTGTTCTCCCAAAGTTGGCCGAGCCTGCTGATCATGAAGAAGAAAAAGAGTCTGCTCTCGCCACTAAGAACTTCATCTTCTCTATCTCCTCTCTATCCAATCTCTACTCTCTTCTCTCCAACACACTCTCTCACATCTACCCGAATTGTTAAGTTTGTAGTGCACGAGTCCCCAGTGAAGTGGATGAAATGCGGGCGGTCAGG